TACCAAAACTTACTGCAGAATGAAATTTAAATAATAGTAATAATTACTCCGAAATACAAAACAAAATGTTTTAATTTTCCAAATCAAATAATTTTATTTCTGAACACACAAATTCACATCCCTCTCAGAACCCTAACTCTTCACGTCTCTTATTTCTCCTGCCTTTGAGACTAGGAGGCTAGAACACGCTGCATTTGGGGAGCGTTTTTCTGTACCATTCTCTATCCCCTCTTAATGAAGCCAAACTTTTTTTTTTTTTGGTTTTTGGCTACTGCTGTGCATTGACGTCTTTGCTGAGCTGTCCTTGATAACTCCTAGGTCTTTTCCTGAGAGGTTATAACTAATTCAAAGACCATCAGTGTGCTCAAGTAATTTAATTTTTTTCTTCCAATGTGCATTACCTTGTTCTTATCTACAATGACTTTCATCTACCATTGGTACCAATCCCCTGGTTCTGTCTGGTCCTTCAGGAATTTCTCTCAAATGTTGCCGTTAACCTAAATATTACCAAGTCATCAGTAAAATTTGCCACCTTACTATTTACCACTCTAGCAGGTCATTTATAAATATACTGAATATTTGCTCTACAGCACGAATCTGCTCCCTCTGAAGACAATGGCAAAATAGCAGCTGACTGCAGTGGGAGCAAGATAAAGAGCTTAGGTTAGGCCTGTGAGGCCTGCTTCTGTAGTATGAACCTTCCCACACTGAGAACTGGTCACTGACTCCTACACTGGTGTCCTGCCACAATCAGTTTGTAAGCCATGAAAAGACTTCAAAGGACATTGTTAATTTGAGTCTATGCAGTCAGTAGCAGTTTCAGGAACTCCACCTGTCCGTAAGAGTTCTCCTGATGATACTGGTGTTTTTGCATCTTCCCGTTTTAAGACATGTCTCTGTCTCTTTGTCCATTTCCCCTGCTGTTTGTGTAAGAAAAGTAAGTGAGAAAAACGAAACTATGAAACTGACCACAAAGTGCTGTGGTTGTGCTCATCCTCATGTCCTGTGACCTGTTCTGAAGAGCTCAAGACCGGGGCAGATGATGCCTAGTGTTTGCTTCCTAATAGGGAAACGCTCAGTTACTTACTGACTGGGAATCCTTTGTTCTTGTGCAGCATAGAAAAACTTTGAGGCGGCGTGTCCAGCTGCTGGCCTGTCCCTCCTCCAGGCGGTGCCTGTGCCACAGAAGTAGAGAGTGAATATGCATATGAGGAAAACAGGTAATAGGACAGCAAAGAGGACATGCACAGAGAAAGCGCCAAGAGCCAGTATACACACCATGCAGATGTCTGCTGTCAGTGATATCAGGTACACATGGCCAACTTCTCTTTTATTACAAGGCCTCTTTACACTGTTCTGGCAGCACTAAAGGGTCTTAGTGTAAAGAAGATTCTGGCTCAAGCTCTGTATGCCTAAACATATGCAGGACAAGTAAAATGATTTAGAGGGCAGTGTTCTGTACATGATAACTATTGTTAAAAGTACAGAGGAGGTGAGTTTTCATGAAAGCTCCAATCCATCTGGCAAGACCTAAACATCAGTGTCCACAGACGTAGTCCCATCCCTGAGAAGAAAAGCTGTAATGAGGCTACTGCTTTGCCATGGTCTGAGAGAGGTAAAATGTTTGAAAATCTCTGGCTCTTTGGAGTGTAGGAGGGTGCCTAGGAGTAGCTGTTTGCAGGTGAAGTAACATTTTCTGGATTGACTGTACCACCCAACAACAGACCTTTTTACCTCTGCAGAAGGCGGCCTGGGCTGCTACAAATTGGACTTTACAAATAGAACAGGGCAACATTTTTCAGCAAATAGTGTATGCAATAAAAATACAATTCTGGAGGACCCAAAATGGTTTTCAAATTTTATGAAAAAACTTTGCTGAAAACAGTTCTAAACATTTCTTTTAAAAAGATGTTTCAGTTTTTACTTCATTTTCTTTGAAAAATTGCCCCCCACATTTTTTTTAAAGGTTAAAAATCCTAAAAGCAAAATGTTTTGTTCAACCCAACACACAACACTTTTCAATGTTTTGGTGCAACCTCTGAACCGATATGATCAAATATTTGCAAAGTTCTGTTGACAATTCATTGCAAAGGAGCTCAAACAAAGCCAGAGTGCCACTGGACAGTAGGATCTACACTTTGTAAACTAGTTCTTCCCTACTTTTGATTGAGATGTGTACAAAACACAGATTATCAGATCTACCAAATACACTTGCCTTTAAAAGATGTGGGGAATGGTATCCAATTTCTTCTGAAAAGCTATTCTATAGAGATATGCCCAAAACAGATTTTAATGTTGGTAGCAGTAGAATGAAAGACAGCTTAGATTGCTCAGAAATAGATCACCTCAATTCTGTTCTCTGAGCACAGGATCCTGCTGGGAAAAGCCCATGCATACAGTGGGCTGCTTCATAAAAGATCTGGTAATAGAAAGCGCTCCAACAGGGATGAGGAAACAAGTGAGAAGATCCATCTGACCATGCCTGACAGGGATCTTCAAAGTTTTTAAAAACAACCCAGAATCTGGTAGTAAGACTCCAAAACAGGGACAAGAATATTGCTGTTTTAAGAAGCTAGCAACAATCAGTAGCTCCAGAAAACAAGAAAGCCCAGATGGCCATGTCAACAACTTCACAACCTCAAGCTGGCAGGCTGAAGAGCCTGTGATGAGCTGGTATTGTCATTCCCTCCAAGTTTTCCCAAATAGGATTTTTTTAAACTAAAATTTCCTGTTTACTTGGCCCAAAGAAATTTGCTAGAACATAATTAGCATAATTAGCAGAACTCTTCTTTAGTTCTGTAAGTCTGTTAAACACACACATGCATACACATATATCTGACTGACATTTGTACAGCCAAAACCACAATGCAACTAAAATGAGTTAAAGAACTATAGCAAAATACCACAAAAAGGAAGCCACTGAAATCTAAGCATCCTAAATGTGCAAATAAACCAAAAAGAAGCCCGTCATCTTAACACGTTCTATTATGAGGCAAGGAAAATACAGCTCAGATTTTCAAGTGGATTACAAAGAACACTTTCACACATACAAGTCAAAAGACTGTAAACTAAAAGATTTTATCCTGAAAAGGTTCAGAATGTCCTCAACTCCCATTGAACTCAATGGGAATGGGCAGACCTTGGTACCTTACACGATTAAGCTCCCAGACCACAGGAGGGTATAAAAATAAGCCCTTTGGGCAGTATTGCTTTAATAATAAAAACATCAGCACATTTGAGGTTTCCATATCACAGTATAACTCACTCAATCTCAAAACTGTCGATTTAAACAGTCATCAACTTTGAAATGCAGCTGCTTCTGGGCACAGCAGGGCAAACAACAGGTGCACAGCACACTGCACAAAATACTATGGGATGGCAGGGAAATTAAGTTCAGCACTGGGCAAACCCCTATGCTTGTATATGCCTTCTTTAATATCCCCATAAAGCAGAGAAGAGTTTATTTTTAACATCTCAGGCTACATGGCACTCAGTTTCCCTTTTAGGAAGGTGAAGAGCTGAGCCACGCCTGCTAGGATTGCAGCATGTGGTCCTAGGCCCATATGCTACTTATCGTGAACTTTCTATACATCTGGATTTTAAATGCAGCACTCTTGCATCATGTAAGTTTGATTAATGAGGTACAATGAGTCCTGAACACTCTTGGGACTGATGGAAGGAACATAATGAAATAAAGAAGGGTCTTGCCCTAATGAAATAAAAATGCACATTCCTTTAAGGGTGTATGAAAAGGCCTTTAAAAGGTCCAAGGTCCTTCCCAATACATGAGCACCATCTAAACACTCCTTCATTGTCTCAAATGGATCGAAGATTTGGAGCACTCTGCTCCACTGCAGTGGATATTCTTGAGATGAAGTACGTGACCTGCAGGCTTTTCTCCAAAAGTCTGTAATTTTGCACATTTAAAAGAAAATGCCCACAACCCCGCAAAGCCACATTCCTGACCAAGGGCTATGTGTGTGTCAAGACTGCATGTAAAAACAAAGCCTGTTTGTGTTATCCCAGCATTATAAGAAAAAAAAAAAAAGTCTGAAAAATTCTTGCTTGGTGAAAAAAAGCTTTCATATTCCCATTTGAGTAAGCTCACACAGGCACAAGAAGTTCTTAATTACAATGTCTAAACACCAACACAGAAAAATTGCTTCTGGACTTAGGCCAAACACAGGGCATTTTGGGCCAAAGGGTCATATTTTGAAAAAGATAAAAAATAAAGGAATAAAGGAGCTTGGAATGAAGATGGTGTCTCACTCTTAACTGCAGGATAAGTGTTACATCAGTGTAACAGGGGAAAAATCATGCCCAGGGTGAAGAACACTAGAAATTACTGATCAGAGCTCATCAGGGGCAGCAAATCCACTGGCTTACATGGGGTCTAGTCAGACTTCCTGCAGTGTCCGATTTTCTCTGGACACATACATACACTGATCTACACATAGCACACACCATGAATATACAGGAGCATCAGAACTACATTCTTTCCAAATGACCTTTCACAAAGGAAGGAAGCAATGCCTGCATGTGAGAGCTCCCCAAGGCAGGAAAGGGAGAGTGCCAAGAGCTGGAGAGATCAACATGTAGTTCCAGACCTCCTCTTCCTGGAGAGCTGTTCCATGCTCCCTTACCGCAGGTTGTATGTCCTCAGGTTGCGCTGCCTTCTCTTTGTGGCCCGAAGCTTGACGAAGGTTCGCCCTGTCGGGTCAAAGACGCACAGGACAGTGATGCAGACACTCAGAATGACGACCCAGTTGCACACTACCATTCCTGCAGAGAGAGCAGAGAGGAAATCAGGGGCTCTATCCTTGGGCCACAGTAAGAGCTCCTCCACCCTAGTCTCCTGTGTGCACACCACGCTCACCTCTCCACTGCTGCAGAGAGCAGAGGGATGATGCAACCCTGCTCACTCTTGCAGCCAACTGTGGTGAAGGGAAATCCTCTGAGAGGGTTCTCCAGCCTTGAGATTCTTGCTCGGAGGTTACCCATGCAGAAGACACCTAAATATCTGTTCAATACCTCAGGGATTCCAGGGCTGGTATCAGGACCCTGGTAAGACTGGCTGAGATCCTGAAAGGAATTCTGCATAAACAGTAAAGTCTTCTATGAAACAAACTGAAGGGGACCTGAGCCTTTTACGCTGGCCTATGATGGGCTCTTGGATTCCTGTCTCACTGCAGGCAGCTCAAGTGTGTGCGCGCAGTACCTGCTCTGTGTGACTGCATATTCAGATAAGAAGTACTGTCTTCACAGCTACTATTTTTTGATCAATTTCCAGGGGGGCCCTCCCCATGTATGAGAATGGATTATGGGGCACCCCACTATCTACAAAGGAGTGTGTAGGATATGCACTACCCAAGCACCACATTCAGGACACTCAAGGACACCAAATACATACCCAAGGTGACACTCTTGGCAGTGAGGTCATTGCACGAGGTGTAGTACTGGGTTAGCCAAACAATGCCCACTATAGCGTACACAAACTCAATCACCAGGATGGCTGAAACAACAGAAACATAGCACACAATAGCAGCATCTTTCTAAAGGTTAGCACTACCTCCCCCTTCACACAGGAGACCAGAAAAATAGCAGCCCACCAGCCTAGTCTCTGGCAGTTCCACCTGTGCCTCCTATCAACAGCTCCCAGGCTGAGAGAAAAATCCTGAACACCACATGACCTTTAGCCACCAGCTTGCTAATTACCCTGTTGGGCTCAGTTCTGTATTCTGTTTTCTAGCAGGACAGCAACACAGAATAGATTACTGGGGTTTTAGCTACAAGACTTTGAAAGGTAATCTTTAAGGATGTGATGCAGGAAGCCGTTAGACCCTGTATGCCCCCTATCCCTACATAACACACTAACTATACTCACACCACTGCAACCCCTGGAGTTGCATCACAGGCAAAAGTAGGACATAGAGGGCTCCTATAGACAGGCAATGAGGCTGCTCCAATTTGTTGTAAATCCAACACAATTAATCAAGTCTGCTGGAGTGCAGAATTAACACATTCCAGCAGCCTCCAGTGTCACCTGTATCAGCATCCCTGCACTGAAAAATGGTGGCTGGGTGCTTTAAACTACAGATCATTCAATGAGTTTTAGTTCAAAGTGCCCTGCCACCATTTTTTTTTTCAGTGCGGGGACACTGATACATGTGATGCTTGGGCGCTTTTAACTAGTGCAGCTAGCTAACTAAAGCACCCCCCCATACCTCATTCCCACCCCCCCAGAGCACATCTATAAATGCCCAGAGATCTCCAACCTTTCCCTCTTCCCCAATGCAATGCACATAAGATTCCCTTATATAACATGGGCTGCTAGGTCTCACCATGATAAACGGCCTGCCTAACTAAAGCAGCCAATTTAGAAGGGTGTCAATGTGGGATGAACCCAACTCTGTACAATCTTGGGAAATTTAGAAATATATCCAGACCCTCTTATTCCAGTACCCAATCCCTGGGGAACTGAAGTGCAGCGAGACTAAGTCCGCTGCCCAAAGTCACACGTGATATCTGTGGTGGAACAGATAATTGCCTCAGGGCCTCCCAGGTTCTGGAATGGTTTCTTAGCCTTCTTCTTCTGAAAGTATATGCATATGAGGGGAAGAAATCAGTTCCCAGGCTTGTCCATCTCAGACAGTTAATCCCTCTTGCTTCTTGTAGGATTAGAAAGGGGTAGATGGGGAGCCTTTAATGACCGTTGGTTCCAACAGATTCAAGAGGATGCATGTGTAACCTGGGGATCAGTCCTACCTACTTTCACAAATTTAAAAGAATGTGGAGCATTTAACTACCCTAACTCTGACAGACCTCAGGTCATGGCTATCCCCGACCTATGGTAGGCAACGGAATGCTCTAGCTGATTTCACTTGTGCTCCAGGCACCTACTGCCATTTGCTCCAAAGCCAAAACCTTGTTTTTATTAAGCACTTCAAGTACCACTTCTCTCATTAGCTGGTATATCCCAGTCACTGGACCGGTTTCCCCTCAGCAAAAATACAGACACATGCCCAATCCACTGGTCTTGTGTGTCAGTGATTAACAGCAGACCTGCCAAGCACCAAAACTTCTGTTACTTCTAAGGCCCCATCTATGCTGGTAAGCGCTACTTATGAATGGTTCAGCAAATATAATTTCTAAGACTCTTTAGCCAGCCAACAGAGTTGGGGGCAAATGCTTTTAAAGAATGCTTAAAAACCTAGACTTGTTCTTACAATACTGGCTGCACATTCAAAAAATTCCCACAGTTGCTAGCACGAGGTTAGCCCCACCTGATGGAAGCACTAGAGTAGCCAAGACTCCTCTGGATTCCAAGCTCATCTAGATCGCACATGCTTAAAAATCTGGAAGTCCCAAGGGCCTAAACTGCACTGGTAACAATACTCCCACTGCCATCATCACTGTGGTAACCACAGTGAGAAACATGGAGCAGAAAGGGACAATGCCCTCATGCAAAAATGGTTTTAAACAGGGTTGACATCTTGGGCAGGGAAAGAGACTGCATTTTCATTTTCATTTGCTCCCCTTTCTTGGACCCCTCCACTCAGTCTGATTTTAATACACTATTTCTCAAACTGGCAGCCTCTGCTCCCTTCTCTAGGGAGATTCAGTCTGTCTGCCAGAAAGAGAGGAAAATTAGTTTGCTTTCCTCATTAATGGTTTGCACTTAGTACTCACAAGCGGAAATATCTCCCATACAGAGAGAGCTCTCAAGAGAGAATTCTGGGTCATTACTGAATCCTAAATGGGATCAAACCAGGCAAACAAGAATTGGCAACAGGTTGCTCTGCCCACATGTTTAAAATGGATTTGGCCCCATCTGGCCAAGCTTTCCACCATGTTCTGATGAAAACATTTCTCCCTGGGATAGATGTCTGGAGGACTAGTACATTTCTGTATCTTAGAGGATAAACCGGAGACATGAGGAACCCTGAAGAAAAGGGCTGCTGCCCTTTTTGGTATGATTCCTGGAAAATCTGGAGGGTAGGCAGCGGAAGAAAGGTCTTAGGGGGAAAAGACTGGTTACCCATACATCTCAGGAAGAGAGGAGGCCTGTGGGCGTCCAGTACATATATTCACCTACACAGTAAACGTGCAGACTGCTGGTTGGGTAGATACATCACAAATGTAGGTCAAAAGCTGGTCCGTATGTGCATAAAGTAGCTGGCTGGAGTGCACACATGCATCAGAGAGGGGCATGTGCACACCTCACGGTGGGCATATACATGGTTTAGAGAGGCATGTGCTTGTATTATGGCAAGACTTGTGGAAAGGTGGAGTGAAGAGATAAATGTTTGACAAATTGGACACGCTTTTTACTGCATATGGGAAAGCAAATCTGCTTGTTGTAGGGAAAGTGGTATAGGCTGGTGTCTTGGTGAATGGGGATGAAGGAAAGGTGTGTCAGGGAAGTATGCTGGGTGATGGATCAAGATATGTAAGCAGGAGTAGGGCACTCCACTCCTGTTCCAGAGGGACTGTATATTCAGTGCAAGTCAGAGGAGTGGCCATCTGGATGTCTTCTAGGAGCTGTGAGTTTGTCAGGGTATGTGAAGGAAGAGTCTTCTGAGAGTAACAGATGGCAGTGAGGAGGCTGAGTAGTTAGAAGGCCCCAGGCCACTGCCTCTTACCCAGTCTGACATAGAGCACATACTGCATCGAATCCCGGGGCTCTGTGTACAGGATGCTGCCTCTCATGCTGAGCCAGATGATTGCCACTTCTGCTATCATGCAGCTGAGAAGGATGCCCAGGTAGCCTCTGCCGTGGTCCACCAGGTTAAGGGAACAGGTCTCGTTGGGATTGTACACCAGCCCAAAAAGCACCACAGAAAGGATCACAAACCTGCCAAACACAAGCCAAGCAGTTATCAGTGGCAACATGAAGCAAAGCATCTCCCCATCTAGCCATATCCCCTACTACTACCACCACCTCATAGATCCAGCCTTTCCATGCTTCAGAATCACAGAAGGATCCTAGGTGTCCCACACATTTCCTGCCAGTTCTTCCACTCATCTTGGTTAACTTGGTCCTGAACACACCCCTCCCCAACTATCATTCTGGAGACATGCTGCCCAGATTTGACCAACTTGGGAACCTGGGACTCACCTAATTGGTGTCTCTGAGCTATCCTTTGGGATCTGCTAAACACACTACACTCTTATCCTTTTCCCTTGAGCCCCTATCAGGAAGAGCTTCCCCGCCCCCCACTAAAATTCAACATGATAGCAATAATAATGTGTCTGGGGGTTATAGGCACCAGGCTTCTAAATACATTTTCCATGAAAAAAAGGTCAGAACAGCAGCTTTGAATTCCACTGATGAACAGAATGGCAAGAAGAGGCACCAGACATTCAGAACACTCTGGCACAAGCTTCCAGTAGAAGCTGCCTGTGCTACACCAAGGAGCGTAGGGAGAACTCCAGACCCAAGAAACAGGAGTTGCAAAAGAAAGTCGTGACCAGGCTCAGGGCAGCCCTCTCCTGAGTCCATGCACTTCTTACTTACCAGGTAGTATGAAGGAGGAAAAGGAAGATGGCTGGCAAAACGAGGTCATCGCTGCCTACAGACCAGCGACGGCGGAACACCACAATCCCTGGCATGGCTAGCAGGTCTGAAGAGGCTCAGCAGACACGACACTCACCTCCTGAAACAGAAGCACAGGAATGAACAATGTAGGTCATCTCCAGCCACCTCAAAAAGAGAGGGCCTGTGCTAGCACCCCTTCCATCCACCGCACATCAAGGGCCTGCCTGAGAGTCCTCCCTGTCCTACACAAATGATAGCATCATAGTTTCCTCTGCCCATCACCAGGGGGCATCCCAGACTCCAGAAAAAAAAGAGAGGGTGAGCAAAGAAGAGGAGCAGTATAACGAGGGGGAAGTGTTAGTTGAAACAGGTGCACAACAACTCTCACTGACTGCAATGAACACACACCTGACTCCAGCTTACAAGATTACCTGGAATTGTGTTACAGAGCACAGTGTTTGTAAGTGATCCCTACAGGATGCCCCCGACCGGTTTTACAGGCACAAAGCTCTGTACAACCTCCTATTACCATGCTGTTGCCTACACATATAGGCCACCAGGCTCTTCGGTCCCAAGCTTCCTGATGATGCCTTCTGCTTACTTGGCCAGATGCACCAAAGTATCCACTAAGAGTTGGCCCTCACACCACCATGACGCCATCACTACATCTCTCACCCCACTACGGAGCTGCCCATCATCCCACAGGGAAGCATACCTTCCCACCTTCCCTTGCACACCACAAAAGAAAAGTAGTGCTAGTTGTTGATTGTGTAACAGTCCCCATATCTCACTTTGTCTCCTGCATGCATTAAAATTACAATCATAATCAGTTGGGAGATTACTTTTCTCTGTCCCTCCCACTTTTTTCCTAACTTTTCAACCCAATGACCTTAGGAAAAAAAAAAACAACAAATACAATTACTGCCAGCCACATCAAAGACTATAGGACTATCCAGCTTCTACCCTTGCCAGGGTTCAGCCAAGGAATTTCAGTCCTGCTTTGCTGCACCCCATTATACTCTAATCAAACCCAGCCCTGTATGCTAAGAGTTCTGCCAAAGTATCACAAGCCTGCCATGCAGGACTGCAAGTTATTTTGGACCTGCAGGCCTCATAGAGCTCTGATGATCATATGCCTCTGCAGTGATCTACCACACAAGCTCTGGCATTTGCTCATGGCTTCATGGAGGTATTTCTATCCTAGCATGCTGCAGATCATGCTACTCCACTTCTGGCTTCCAATGTGCTCTGCCACGATACATAAATGGTGACCTTATAACAACATCCCCTGCAGTACAAGGCTTCTTTACCCTCAGCTCTGCCACAGCACTTCCTCTGTGACCTAGAGCATCCTATGCTGTTTCAGAGCTTTGGCTACCAGAGAGTTTGGCCGGTGCATCTCAATTCTGAATCACCACCTTCTGCTCTTCTAGTTCCAGGCCTTCACATAAATTTGTCAATACATCTCAGTCCTAATCTGCAGCAACCACGCTATTCCACAGTTGTGTCTCTGAAACACTAAGTACTACTTGGGCCAAACTACATAATCCAGGCAAAAACAAGAACAATTCGATATTTGTTGTGATATAATCAGGATTGACAACAAGATGTCAAAGGCTACAAACCACCATGCCTTGTTCCTAACACAAAACAAACAGTTCAAAATTCTAACATTAAGTCTCACATTTCAGTCCTGTTGTCATATGATGCAAATGATGTGATGAGTGAAGTGGTTGCTTGTCACCTAAGCAGAATCTTCAAACAACCAAGTACTTTGGGTTCCTGATAGTCCAGGCAACCTGCATCCCTACACGCCAAACTGCACTATTAGGGAGTCTGATATTATCACATGTCACAGAAATCCTCATCTTGTACCTAGCACTCATGCTTCTGCTCTTTCTTCTACCTACTGGGCCTGAGGATCTCCTCCTGGACAAGAACAGGATGGCAGTTCTTCTCCTACATCTACTCCTAATGGGGCCCTGCTGCCAACCTGGTCCAGTTGAATTTGATCTCCAGCACATCTCAGTCACGCACCTCAGTCATACAGCAATAAATGCCTTCACACATCTTTAACACTTTTCAGGAGATTCCACAATTAATATGCTGACACACTTCCAGAGTGTTACTCACTTCAGTAAAGGAAACGCTGTATTCCAAGATCAGCAGAACAAAAAAAAAAAAATGTGAAACTACACACCATTTGCATTCACACTTCCCTAGCACATACTCATCAGTGCACTTGGTACATTACAGCCCTACCCTTCAAACTGCTCACTCCATTGGCCAGATGGTGATACTTTCAAGCCTTACCATGAATAACCCTACCACCTGTCATGGCACATGGTGGTACTTTCTACCTTTCCTTGAATATTCCTATTGCCTATTAAAACACACAGATATTTTTCAGCCTGTTCTTTCTTACTTACTGTTGCCTGGGCTGGGCACACACAGGTCTCTCCTAGTAGTTCCTTATGTATTGCTGATCCTTAACAGTACAGGTACTTTCATCAATACTTAGCTTACAACTGCTCCCCCAACCACATCATTCTACTTTCCAGCAGCCCCCTACCAATGCAAGCAGCTGTACAGTGCATTGTTTCCTACTGACTGCCACCTTCTATTATGTCAAGGAGTGCTACTTCACAGGGAAAGAAAACCCTCAGGTGGATTCCTGACCTATAGCAACAGTTGGAGAGGGAACAGCGTCCCTTGTCTTTCATTACTCAATATGAAAAAGACAGAGATTGATATTGCTAGTCTTTTCCTTCCTGAACTCTCTGAACACAGCAATGTGGGAAGCAGAGATAGAACAGGTTCAATAAATACCTAAAGACTGCCTTTAAGAAATCTAAACCAGGAGGTCTGGGGCCCTTGCCCTCGTTTAGACAGGAAAAAAGGTGTGAGAGAAGGCCTCTTAGTACAACCCTGGAGTCACACTGCAAGAAAGGAATAGCTCTTTCCTTCTATGGAGTCCTAGGACCTGAAGCCCTGGGATGTGGCCAAAGAACTACATCTGAGAAGAGGAGTAGGGAGGAAAAGTGAGGGAATTGAGCAAAAGGAGCCTTGAGGCTCTTAGGTTAGAAGATAGGTCCAACTGATAGGGACCAAAGTCTCCACACCCCACATCCACTTACAAAAGAGCTTCAGATACAGTATGAATCTGAACCAGTAATGCAAGAAGCCCTGGGACACTGAACCCCAAACTGGGGGGAGAACAAGCATGCACAAGCCTTGAGTGAAGGAACCCCCAGACTGACAACACTCAGGTCAGCATAAGATCTATAGGAATCAGCAATGCTTACATGGCAGGTGGTCCAGCAGCAGCTCATTCTTCTCTTCCGTCAGGGTGTTTCAGGGAAAGTGCGTGTCCAGGGAGACAGAAATCACAAGTGAAGGAAGAAACAGCAAACTCTAATGCAGCCATTGAAAATCCCAGTCAGAAGAGAGAAGGATGGCTCAGGGACTGGTTGCCGAAAAAGCAAGGCATCATCTTCAGAAAAATTCCCTCCCTCCAAGATAGCAACCTCATTTATTCAACTGGGGCTGCTCAGAGCGAATGAGCCGGGGGTCGTGACTTCCCCCCTTCCACACCCCCGAAACACTCCAGAAGGAAGTGACATCATCCCTGTTCTGAGGAGACTGTGTGTGAATTGTGGGAAGAAGGACTGAGAGTGAGAGCACGCGATGCTGTCAGAGTCATGGGGAGAGGCACACACAGATGGAGAGAGAAGAGAGCTCTCAGCCAGCAAGTGCAGCAGCAACGAAACCTCCCCTCTTCTGCCACCAGGAAACCGGAGCGATTGAGCGTGCTGCAGCAATGATTCAGGAAGGACCTGGAGTCTCGCTGTGTGTGGGAACCCCCCCCTGCCCCTGCAGTGGATGGCATCAGAGACCGCGCTGCTGGAGCAAAGATCGAAAATGCGCTGAGCTGCTGGTCTGTCCTGTGGAATTCACTGAATGGGGGGAGGGGAATTGGACAGGACACAAAGGGGCACTGAGGAGGGGCCACCCTCCTGGCCAGAGAGGAGGGACTGTTCTAAAGCAGCAGCCTCTCCAAGGCCTTTTCAGCCGTTTTAATTCCCTGTGACATGCTCTCTAGGGGATGGCAGGATGTGGGGGAGGGGTACAACTAGCTGTCTGTAGGGTGAAGGCTTAGAGAAAAGAACGAGAGAGAGGGAGAGGGAGAGAGAGAGAGAGATGCTTCAGCAAGACAAGATTCCAGCTAAACAGAAAGATTTTGTTTAATCCCACATCCTAACAGAACGGACATAAACCTCAAAAAAGGTATAGAAGGAAACGCAAGAGCTTCGGGGAGCTGCAACTGCAGCCGCAAATGCAGCGACAGCCTGAGGACAAGGGCACTACATAGCTACATAGTGACTCCTTACACAAGGGGCACTCCCAAACCCTACAACCCCTAACAGACTCATCCTGACTCCACTGCTCCCCTCAAGTTAAATCTACAAACAAAATGAGCTTGAACTCACATAACCATGCTACAGTTCGAGACACACTGTATGGACCCCAACAGCCTGTGGCATGCCAGACTGCAGCGTTCCCTCATGCCCCCATAATTCACAGAGGCATTGGGCTCCTAATACCTATGCCACTGCAATCTAGTCTCCACTTTGCTTCCTGCAGGTTAGACTATTGCATGCGAAACTGAAGCCACGGAGCCAACACAGATGGTTAAATTCTGGATCCTATGCAGTGCCTCAGCCAGCCTACTGGAGACCAGAAGAATCAGCAGAGATGTCTATGGGGAGGCTCTGCTGTCTCAATGTATTCACCATCTCCACCCAAAGCAACAGTCAGAAGACTAAGCAAGACCCTCCACACCCACTCCAAAACCATCCTTTAACTCAGGGGTAGGCAACCCCTGGCACAGGTGCCAGAGCATGGCATGAGAAGGCATTTTGTTTGGTACGCGCACCTCAGGGTGGGTGGCGAGGAAGGGGATGGAGCTGCATTGCCACAACAAGGATCAGGCTCTTCATGGCTCCCCTGGCACACCAACATCACAAGTCAAGGTTGCGGGTTTTTTTGGCTCTGTCCAAAAAAACTGCTGAACCCTGCCTTAACTTATGTATAAATCGCCCCTGCAGCCCCCTTGCTGTCAGTCCACAGCCCCTGTCTTAACTCCACAAAGCATTTAAAATGATAGCGTTTCAACAGAAAACCCAAATGAGAGAACTGTTGTGCCTCAAACACATCACACAAGCCTTTTCCTCTGCTGTCTGCAGCTACTGAAGCAGCCTCCCTTGTGGTCTCCTATAGCATCAGCCCTATAAACCGCAGCACGTGTAAAATGCTGCTGCCATCTCCTTTGACACACATGGAAAATAGTGACCGTAGTCAACCAAAAACAACTGCCCATTCATTTCAAGGGGAGATTCAAAATTCCCTCCATGTATTCAAAATTCTCAATACATCCACAGAGGTAAGCTTTGACCCCAGAGACAGTTTGGCCCACACCAGCCACATGCAGCAATAAGGGACGGCAGAGCATTGCATTGTGGGATGCCTAGAGGACCAACCAGATCTGTGTTGTTTGGCTTACACACTAAACACAGAGCAGTTCAAAATTCACCAGGTCAGAGGAGTGGCTTTCCAGGTACAGTTTTTTAACTGTTCCAGCCAGTTTATACCAGTTCAATGAGGGTGTATGGCCTGACCACTTCTGATTCAAACCCTATTTGAACTGGCTTATTGTTATGTGCATCCACACCCTTGATCTCTGCCTCCTTTCCTCATCTAGCACTTTACCCTGCCGGGCAACCTGGCCGCTGTAGAAGTAAGAATCTTGTGCTCTGCAGCAATGTGTATGCAGAATACCCTCCTTCTCACATCACCAGATGGAATCACGTTTTATCCTTTGCCTGTACGCTTGTATTATCTGTACCACTAGAATTATCTAACGGGTTTAAGCTATTGAAGTTACTTATATCATACAAATGAAGTTTTCACTGTACTGAAGAAGTCTGTTACAAGCATTGTAGGTAACAGCCATGTATATCAGTTTCTGGTACCCTTCTCCACCAGCACACTTCGCCACACTATTACTGTGTGGAAAGGCCACCGGATTATAGCACACACCCGCTTTCCCCAGCAGCCGCCCCCATTACTGGACAGGCTTCCACCAGAGTTCTCTGTGTGCCTCCAAACCTCTCCCCTCCCTCTGCCACCTGGTCAGACATGGGACACTCACCATAACTCATAGGCCATGTCTTCACAAGTGCAGCATGCAGAGGCCCTCCCTGTTCCTACAACTACGCCACACTACATACACTTACTGTACTCCACTTCAGTACAGTAAATCGACAATTAGAACTTGTATTAAACGTCATTGATCTTGAGCCAGCTATATTTAAACCCCCTAAATGGAACTCTTTCTGCCTGGGTCCTCACAATATAAGAATTGTTCTTCTACTGGGGGATGTGATTTCATCTTTAGGAAATGTCCCGGGGTTGGCTGGGATGGGTTTTCTTGCCTATGGCTCCACACATACAAAAATATATCTTCTCCTCCTGAATCTTGCATGAGGCTCACAGTGTACACTGAAGGGATGCCAGGGTGAAATGACCAGCAAGGCTGCATTCCCAGGTCACTCTCCAGCACAATTTGCCCCTGTCAAACATTTGCAGTACATCCAGCAAGAACTGATAAAGCAGTGTGGGAATGTAACCCAGACCCAGGGAAAACAGAATTATCCTCTTTCCCCAGGATGGAAGAGTTTCTCCATCATACAGAACCTAAGGTTGAAAACAGATCTCAGACTTCCCCCAGGACAAAGCCTTTTTCCCAGGGTTCCTACAGAGGGACAAGTTGCTCCACATTAAGTACCTGGAAGTATCTGAACTCTCCCTGGGACAACAGTGACTAACTCAATTTAAATGCCATTTAAGATGTGTGTGTAAAGGACTGTCCCTGCCTGTTTTGAGGAATCACAGCCCTGACCACTCAGCCCCACCAATGTCTGTTTTTAGCCTAAGAAAACAATGTAAGAAGAAATCTCATCTTTAAATTAGCAGGAAGAATGAGGGCAGAAACAGACATTACCAAATGGAAGCAGATCACCTTTATTGGGCAGTGTGCTCCCCTTGCCTGGAGATTACTTGCATCCCTCACTGCCCTTCACCTCCTTGCAGGGAGGACCTATGCATCACAAAGAGGCATGAGTTGGCATGACAGCCAGGGAATTCCTGGCATCTCATGTTTCCATGTTGGGATATGCACCAGGTCCTGCACTGACCTATGCTCCAGATAAAGGCACAGATTAGCACAGGTCATGGGTTGGAGTGGATGGGGTACTGTGGATTCTCTGGCTCTGCACCTCCACAGCAGCCAGCATCAGGCTCCACACTGACCTCTGCCTCCAAGTGAAACAGGTCAGCACAGGAGCCAGTGCAAGTCACAGCGTAGAGGCACAGGGCCATGTAGGCCCTAGCATGGAGACAAGGAGTGCCAGGCATTCCCCAGGGTCTGATGCCTCCACATAGGTACTCACATGGGCTTCCCCTGTTTATAGAGATTTGCCTTGGAAATCCCATAAGGTCTCCATAAGCAGGGAATACTGACTTTCCCTGCTTAGAGGGGTGTCTCAAGATTCCCCAAGCAGATAAAGCTGGGCAGGTGCTCCAGAGGCTTGAGGCCCAATTCTACCTAGGGTAAAGAGGATCAGTCACCTCAAGCCCCTGGAATACCCCCCCATGGTGACTAAAGAGTGGGGGCAGCTCAGGGATGTCCACACTCCCACTACAAAGCAAACACATGTCTGTTACAATAAAGTGGCATGATTTATTAAATTACTAAATTGCCCTTCAGACCTGAAAAGGACAAGCTTTTACCGATAGGCCCAGCCCTGAGATAACCTGAGGGGTCTGGCAAGAATATACACTTTGAGGTGGAATGATGCCAGTTATGAGAACAAAAGGTACTGCTAGTAACAGGAAAAAGACAAGTCAGGTGGCCCAACATTCTGGCCCACCTCCAATGCATCTTATTCTTGCCTCCTCACTTTCTCACAAGGGCCCTAACCCAAACCTCTGACTAGTACAGAAACAAATCAAGATATCTTTTGAGCACATCTGTGCTCCTCTTATAAACCATCCCCTTGGTTACTTCCTCCAGCTACCTCTTCCCGTTTGGGAGCTCTCTCTCTCCTGGGGCCCCTATTATCCTTGGACTTAGATGACATCTACTTCTACATTGTTGATTTCCCCAGCAATGCAATCTTTATTCTGACTTTATCAATTCCTTTTGGAATGTCAAAAACCCTTATCAAAATCTTCTACAGGGCTCCTTTTCCTCAGGAAAACAAACCCAATTCTCTAAACCTGTTCACTAATTCAGGAGACCTCATATATCATCCTTTCCAAGGTACTTATTTCTTTGGAAGACAATGCCCACAGAACTGTACATAATATGCCATGTAAAGCCCAATACAATGACATCAACTTCTCTTAAACAGTAGAAGTACTGTTAATGACACGCAAACTAAGTCAGGAGTTCATTTCTGGGGTCTTTTTTTTTCTTTTTAAAGAAAAATACATTTGAGGTTATTTTAGTTTGTCTTCTAGGTTTTGAACCTTTAGGGTTGTAATTTTCAAGCTTTATTCTGCAACCCTGAGAGCTGGACATTTACGGGATGTTGTTTTTTTTTTAATGAAAGTTGGGATTCTCACTTAAATGGAGAAAAATTAAGAAATAATTAAGAAAAGAAATGAATGATATAAAAGTTGCCAGCACACATTATCTCCTTCTTGTGGAATGGAATCTGACAACATAGCATCCATTTAAAAATCAAATGAAAACCCTGTACACACCATATCCCCTTATCAACTTAATACCCAACAGACTTACGTAGGACTGGCTACCCAGTGTTCAGGCATAGAGCTGTACTTTGCCAAGTTTACAACAGCTTTTGTTTTGTTTTGTTTCCTTTTTACTTCAGGCACAACATCTGAGCTGCTAAGGTG